GGACAAGAGCTGTTCCACCTCGCACAAGACCGACAGGCGTGGAAAAATCTGATCCCGTAAAAATGGTTGGCCCCAACGGGCGCTAAGCCTATGGGACATGATGATGATGATGATGATGATGAGTACTTAAAAAAATTATATTTTTGGAATCAGGACAACTTGTTCTCTATACCCTGACATTTTCAGGCCGTTGTGAGGGGTGTTACTTCCCAAAGTCCGTGATTCTTACAGGCAATGGCTCTTAAATCAAGATTCTGTTGAAATTGATTGGGACATCAGTGAACCAATATATAGAAAATCAACATGTACTATACAAACAACGGGTTCATTAGCAGCAAGAGAAGCATTAACTCAATACTTTTTACAAAATCCTATCTAAATTTTATTTTCTAACTAGGTTTTTCTTAATTCAATTGTTATATAAACAAAAATATATAATCATTTTTTTATTCATATTGTTAAACAATTACATATGTAGAAAAGTATTTTTGTTCAAATCGTTGTTTCAATAACATTTATTGTGTTTCAAGTGAATTTCCGTAGTTTAACATAAATATAAATGATTTATAAAAATAATATTTAAGAGAGTTTCCATGAACTGATCAAGCATCTCTCAAATATATGAGGCACTCGATAAATCTTTTTTTTTTTTTTTGCTCATTCAAATATTAGAACCTAAAATTTTAGGGTTAGCAGTTTTAGACATTGAAGTTTTGAATGAGCTGCAAAAAAGAAAAAAAAATTTATCGAGTGGCTCGTATATTCGATGTCCTCACGGGTGTTCTCTTAACAAAGCATCTCTTTATACATGTCATTTGGCATGGAAGAGCCTCGATTTCAGATTCATTACATCTTCTATAACAATTCAACGAAATTTCAAATATTATATTGAATTTAAAAGTTTAAAGTAACCCTCACACTGATCAATTCCGTTCTCGAATGCACAATTCATCATTGAATTTAGTTCAATAGTGATTCCCTCCATCTACTTAGAAACAAAAAACGCGACATTTCCTTTTGCAAAAGTGTGTTATATTTATGCATTTCGCCTACATTATAGTGGCACGACCTCATTTTTTATTGGCGCATTAACTTGAGGTGAAGACACGCGTTGTTTTAATTCGACTTTTAATCCGCATTATTTTTGTAGTGGAGACAAGGCCTTATGTGTTTTATTTTTTCTTGTTTGATGCAATAAAAATGAATGAAAAAACATAATATCGTTTACTTCACATGCTTTGTCCATTGAACAAAATCATCAATAGACACATCTATTGCACCTTTGAGAGGTTTATCTTTGTCAAGATCATTTGGAAACCGAAGACGCATAAGTTGAAGTATGACTGGTGGTAGTAGATGATATTTTTTCTTGGATTTTTTGGACAAAATAGTATTTATCTCATTTAAAAATGCTTCACGTCGTTCAGCATCGGTTACTACAGCAGTATCTGTAGTAAGACGATGTCGAGCTAAAATATCATCGAATTTTTTTTCAAATAAAATATTATAAATAAGTGGAGGCATATTAATATTTGCATCTTGATAGCAACTTTCAAGAAGTGCTTTGATTGCTTCTAATTGTGCATCTTGTAATGGTCGACCATCACTAAATAATAATAATTATATTTTAGATGGGTAAAAAATATATTTCTAAACGATTGCAAAATCGCAATCTTGGATTCCAACGTTTTATAAGTACAAATTCGATAAATAACACGGCACAAACATCAATTGAGCATCTAACAACAACAACAGAAAAAAAACTAAGGTTATCTCGTGCTCAACTTCGTGCTAGATCAATTTCAACAACACAATCCACTACTGAAGACGAATATGAACCAACTTTTGTTGATGATGAATCTGAATCACATGATATTCCATACAACAGTGTAAATATTATCGTCAATATCGGCATGATACTCAATTTGGTTAATAAATTCCGTTGTGCTTCGTGTAATCGTGTTGGTGAAATGTCAGAAAAAGTTACTCAACGTCGCGGTCTCTTGTACCATATCACGTTTTCATGCACTTGTTCATTTGAAACATCTTTTACAAATTCAACAGAACTGGTTCACTCATCTACTTCACGTATGGATGAACTCAACATGATGGCATGTGTGGCAGCTAATGTTGCTGGAATCAAACGAACAGGCATGACTACAATTTTAGGCATACTGAATATTTTACCACCAGTTCAAATTGAAAACTGGAACAAATATCAGAAAATATATTCAAATGCTTTAGATGTTGTGAAAGATGAAAGTCTTGGAAGAGCCGGTAAAATTCACTATTTTTATTTGCTTATCATATGGTATTTTTGTATAATTTTATTTGTAGCTGAAGAAGCAGCAGAACAATCATCTGAAGCTGCTGATCATGAAGGAGTTACAAATATCAAAGTTTCAATTGATGGTACATGGCTAACTCGTCGTGGTCATTCTAGTTTGCATGGAGTCGCAACTGTTTGTTCAACAGCGGATCCACCAAAAGTATTAGACTTCGAGTGTCTAAGTCGGCACTGCACCACTTGTTCTGGCTTATTAGCGATTAGAGAACACAATCCTGAAATGTATCAACGATTTTCAGCAGAACATATCGAGAGTGGTTGTGAAGAAAATCATTCCGGTTCATCATCTGGAATGGAAGCTGCAGGTTTGAGGAAGTTATGTTGAAAGATTTTTACCAATATATGAAATCTTTTAGGTGTTGTGAAAGTTTTTTGTCGATCAGAAGTAAAACATCTTCTACGATACACAACATACATTGGTGACGGTGATGCCAACAATGAACTTGCACTTCTCGATGCTCAGCCATAGCGAAAAATTAGTATTCGACGTCTTCAATGCATAAATCATTTTTCAAAACGGTAATATCTTTGTCTTTATGATAATATATATCTACTTTTTTTAATATAGAATGCGCACTGCTCTTGAAACAATGAAGAAAAACTATAAAGGTGCAAAATTAGAAGACGGTTTACCAATTGGAGGTCGAAATAGACGTTTAACTGATGATAAAATTCATCAATTTACTGTTTATTATGGTTCAGCTATTCGATCTCATGTCAATGATTTGGAATCAATGAAAATCGCTTGTTGGGGTATGCTTTGTTCATATTAATATCTCTCAGCATCATTTTTATATTTTAGCTACGTTTTATCATTACAGTTCGACACGTGAAAATCCAAATCATGATTATTGTGATCCAAGAAAGTGTCATATATACAGATACAAATCATTTGATGCTAACAAGCATAGTTTAGCACCTGCAGTAATGAATGCCATCCGTCCTGTTTATGAAAAGATGTGTTCAGATGAAATGTTATCGAAAGTCGTCGACGGTGGAACAACTAATTCCAATGAATCATATCACAGTTATATTTGGTCATTGTGTCCTAAAACACAATTCCATTCTGCCAAATATGTTCATGATGCTGCTTCTTTAGCTGCTATTCTGTACAACGATGGTTATCAACTATCAATAACAAAACTGCTTCGACAATGTGGTGTTCTAAGTACAACTCCTGCATGTGTTCGAATGCTAAAGTTAACTGATAATCAACGAGTGAAAGAACATAAATTCAAAACGAAAGCAACTCAACAAAAGAAACGACATCGACAAATATTAACTGAACAACGTCTCAATCAACAAGAAAAGTATAACTATGCGTCAGGAGCGTTTGATTAATTGTATTAAAATATTTTTAAATAAATAAACATACCTTGAACGAATTGTCTTTTGTATTTTGATATTGTTTGCCATGAATAAAAGCTTGTTATTTTTTGTTTCTTCTTATAGGTAAATAAAGTTTATACGAAACTATAAGATGTCTGATGAAACTTACTAAAGAAAGATTCGTAATTGGAAAGTAATACGACTAAAGATTTAGAAGTAATAAATAGTAGAGGGGAGAAAAATTTCCATGTCTTTACACATTCAGTTTACTTATGCTTCGCTACTTTTAAAAAACAGAAAAAACAGTTCTTAATAATTAGTGAATGATTGTTTAACTAATTAAAAAGCATTCTTGATATAGATTTTTCATCCATGATTACCTGTAAATGCGTATTATCGCAATTTTCGGTGCCTTTTTATTATTAACTGACTAAAAGATTAATTAATTAATTAAACAAAATTAGCATCAGGTTCATGTTCTTCGCTCTGATTTGAGTTAATTAAATTTTTTGAGAACATATGTTAATTAATCGTAATCAGTTAAATAAATAATTAATTAATTAATTCTGACATCACATTCGGATTCTCCACATCCGAGTACCCCTTTTGCAATATTATAAAAAATTGGGTCCACTAATTAAAGGGTAATTAGTATTGAGTTAATTAATTAACTAATTAATTAATTAAAACCGACCTCGAATTCGGATTCTCCATGCAAAACTACCCATTGCACCATAAAATTAGCAAAAATACTCACGTAGCAACGGAAAAAGAAAATTTTTCTACAAGTTTTTTTTATTTTGCATTTTTCTCGAAACTAGTTTTTTGGGTATCAAAAACCAGTTTTCCCCCTTTTTCTCCGCCATTTCAAGTCCGATCGGGCTGAAAATTTTTTTGATGA